TTCAAGAAATGGTTGAGCATGGTCGCAAATTAGTCCTTATGCAAATTGTTACAACTGTTGCATCTGTGGCGGATGCTGCGGAAAAGAAGTTTTTACCGTATTATGATCGGTACGCATGTTTATAAATTCACTTTACCCTGAATTACAGTTTATTTGAACCTACTGAAATATATAAACTTTTTTATATATGCAAACTGTTGTATTCATGTTCTACAGCATAGTCGCTAAATGTGATTCACTGCACTGTCTTATTTTTATTTCCCCTAGGTGAAGGAACAAGTGACGGGTCAACCTCTGCAAATGTATTGTATTTAAATTTACTTTTTCGCATCTTTATGCAGAGGTTATTCCGTACATAAACTTGACTCAATTAAAATATTAACTATTTCAAATTACTGTCTCCAGTTTATTAGTGGATTATCTGCAGAACAACAAATGCTTTCGTTCATTAACTTTATTTAACCAAGTAAACTTGGATTTTTATTTTTTATTGATAGCTTTATGCCAGTATTAAAGTACATAATGGAAAATGCTGTACACAAGGACCTGCGCTTATTGCGCGGCAAAACAATCGAATGTATTAGTCTTATTGGTCTGGCTGTTGGGAAAGAAAAATTCATTCAGGATGTGGGACCGGTAATGAACTTACTGCTTCAGACCCAAACTCAGCCCGATTCAGAATCTTCAACAGATGATGATGATCCGCAGGTGAGAACTCAACATGTATTTATGAAGTACTTATTTATGCAAAATGGCTCCTCTTATTTGTGATTATTATTTGAACCTTTAGGCTTCTTACATGATTAGTGCGTGGCACGAATCTGCAAACTTCTGGGACGTGACTTCGAAAGTTACCTACCCGTCGTTATGCCACAGGTGCTGCGTTCCGCTTGTGTAAAACCCGAGATTTGCATACTTGATAATGACGAAGCAGACAATGTGGAATCAGATGTAGATTGGCAGGTTGTCAAACTAGGGGAGGATCGCAATTATGCTATTCGTACAAGGTGAGTACCCAGTCGAGGAATTTCTTATATTCTCTATTTTCTTTTCTGAAATGAAGTTGTTGTTCAATGCATTTTTGATTCTTCTGCAGTGGGTTGGAAGACAAAGCAACTGCTTGCCAAATGCTTGTATGTTATGCACGTGAGATGAAAGAGAGTTTCGCGCCATACTGCCAACAAGTTTTGGATATCATGGTTCCACTGCTTGACTTTTATTTCAATGATGAAGTAAGCAATACTTAAATCTTAGTTTAGTTCAGTTTATAAATAGAAGATATGTGTTTATTATGTCTCCATAATCCCTCCTATTATGACTAATTGCCATCTCATCTAATCATAGGAATACTACACTACCGTTACTGTATTAGAATGTGACAATTAGCGTTTCATTTTCAAAACTATTCTTACCATTTTTCTTTCGATATTTTCTACGATAAACACAGGTTCGTAGTGCTGCAGCTGAGTGCTTACCTTTTCTCCTCGGCAGTATGAAAGCTAAACAACCAGAAATGGTAGCTACTGCATGGGAACGTGTACACAAAAGTCTAATACGTGCGGTAACTAATGAACCTGAGCGCGATGTCGTTGCAGACCATCTGCAAGCTCTTGCGAATTCCGTCGAAGCTGTAGGAAAAACGTACATAACTAGTGATCAGTTGGCTGAAATCCGGAGTCTTTTAGATCACTTGTTCCACGAGCATTTCGAGAAAAGTGACGAACGCCTTGCTCAACGACAGGTTGGTTGTGATTTTTCTAACTTTGCTGTTGATAATGTGAACTGACAAGACATAAAAGTAAGCGTTTTGTATTTCTGAAATATGTGGGGTCCTTTAGTTTCCTAGACTGTTCACCTACTTCACTTTCTGTTTCCTGATATTTTTATTCAGAGGGGAGGTAAGTAGTCAAATATTGGAACGTTCAAAGTCGTGAATATTTCGTCCTGGCTCTCATTTAGTCTTATCTATTTCCATCAGACTATAGAAATCATATATCCGTTGACAGGCAGATGGGCAGACAAAATCAACGTAGAACCTCTCACACAGCTGCATTGGCTCAAGTTGCCACACTTCACAGTAGTACACAAAGAACAGGTGGATAGAAAAAAAAGTGATTTCAAAGTAGACAAAGTTGTGTGAGAGATTAAACAAACTGAAGATAAAGGTCAGTGCGAATATCCAAGCTCTAGAAGATGTCAAGGAGTGAATATATCTGTGCCACTGTGGCCAATTTTCAGTCATGTTACCAAGCGTCTTCAATCACTGATTTCTTTTGTCTCGGGGATCCCAACCAGGCAGATTACAGCTCTCTACATGGCTCAAGTCAACCGTAAGAGACTTCATCGACTGGTGCCAGGTCACCTTAAACCCTCTTTAAACTTAATTCAACTTCCTCTAGCATGGCATGTCGAGGACAGTGGTGGCTTGGCGTGAACAGTACTTGTTCAAACCGTCTCTGCTAATGAGGGTTCACAGCTTCAGTACCCTTAAATATTTATACACGAGTTGTATGTCGTTTAAACTAACAAGTTTACTTCGACTTGAGTTTAACTTAACAATAAATGATTCACTATTTTGGTTAGTCATTTCAGCCTCAAATAATTCCTGAACGACATTCATGAAGGTGATCTGTGCTGAATTGTTAGGTCTTTATTGCATTCTGATAGTTTTTTTTTTGAATTCCCAAACAATTTTTCAATAAAACATCTTGTGAATTTCAATTTCTAGTCTTGTCACTTGTTCATTTACTGTTGGTTCTTTACAGCAACATTCACATTAGGTAAAACATAATGCGTTCTCCTTTGAAATCGTGTTGTTCCAAAGAACAAATGTTCTGTTGAGGGTACGTATTGAATGACAGACCATCGAGCGGAGTTTTGAACTGCGATTGACTCAGGCAGCCCTGATATGCATTGGAAGCTCCAAACTTCCACCAACTCTATATATCATGTTAGTCGATATATTCGGTCAGATGAATGTGTGACATTTCCATCGAACCATTGGTTTATTTTATTTTGAGCCATGTTGCTAGCATGCGAGTTGCCTGATTGTGGAGTCCTTGTGGTGATAAGAATCAACAGATTGAAGGCTCCTTGTGATATAACAGAAAATCGATCGTTGTCTTCGACATTTTCACCAACCTTCATTTTCCATGCCTTAATTTCATTTTTCGTATCTCCTTTGCATATTTAAGGTGTGGCAACTTAAATTGATTCACTTTTGTCCAAAGTTGTAAGGTTTATTTGTCTATCAGTTTTATAAATACAATAATCAATTAATTTACATAAAAGAAACCAATAAATATGCTGAACTTTGTTTAAAACATTCAATCAAAAACTTATCTGTCTGAGCATGTTTTACAAAGTGTTGTTAATTTCCCTTTTACAGAATGAAGATTATGATGAATTTGAAGAGGAACGTTTGCTGAGCGAAAAAGATGAAGATGAATATGTCTTGTCAAAAATGTGTGATGTTGTACACTCTGTTTTTGTCGCTTTCGGTGTCGATGCTCTTCCGTTCTTTCAACAACTTATGGTATTTTGTGTCAAACTCTTGGTAAGTTAAGTTCATATGTGTTCATGTAAACTGTACTGACTCAGTATCATTGTAAAATAGCGAAATCAAGCTACTACTTCATTTATTTTCCATTATGTTCAAGTGGAAAAGTAGTTAACTGATACATTTCTCACTTCTTCACTTCGAAGTAATAATTACAGTTCACTAAGAAGCTTCGAGGATGATACATATCTGAGAAAAAAAGGAGGGTTAGGCGCTTGCCTCGCATTTCCGACAATTTTTTAGTTTGTCATCTTTCAATGAAGCAGGTAATCTAAGCATCTTGGTTTGCGAAGCTTTCGAGTATTTAATTGATATGTAGACCGATACAGATATATTTTGACTTTTGGTAGGAACCAAATCGTCCTTGGTCAGACCTGCAATGGGGCATATGTCTGTGGGATGATGTGATTGAGTTCACTGGAACACAAAGCTGGCAATTTCACCAATTCTTCCTACCTACATTCGTCCAGGCTGTACAACACCAGCAACCTGATGTTCGTCAAGCTGTCGTTTACGGAGTCGGTGTTGCTGCTATTAATGGTGGTCCTGAATATAACCAAATACTATCTGACTTTATGGGTCCCCTCATCCAGTTAATTGAGGCCCAGGATTCAAAGTCAGAAGAAAACAATTTGTGCACAGAAAATGCAATTAGTGCTGTTACAAAGGTAATCCATTGTAAATATTATTGTTTGAATAATGTTTGTTGGGCTAATAAAACAGTAAAACTTGAACACTGATGGGCGAGTACCTCCGGATTAAATTTGTTTTAGTCGAAGCTTGCAGTATGACTTACTGCATAAATTGTTTAACACAGCTAATTATCCTATAATCACAACATTTCAACTTATTTTCTCAATATATTTGCTATCATCGCTGATTATTCCAGTTTCATGTTGGCCTGAGCCATGTAGAGAGTTGTAATCTGCCTGGTTGGGATCCCCGAGACAAAAGAAATCAGTGATTGAAGACGCTTGGTAACATGACTGAAAATTGGCCACAGTGGCACAGATATATTCACTCCTTGACATCTTCTAGAGCTTGGATATTCGCACTGACCTTTATCTTCAGTTTGTTTAATCTCTCACACAACTTTGTCTACTTTGAAATCACTTTTTTTTTCTATCCACCTGTTCTTTGTGTACTACTGTGAAGTGTGGCAACTTGAGCCAATGCAGCTGTGTGCGAGGTTCTACGTTGATTTTGTCAGTCTGTCGGACAGTCTACTAAATATGAAAGACTTTCGTTACACCGGTTGCTGAAAATGTTCGTTTTGTAAGCACTCGGTCACTATGCAAAATAATGGACAGCAAATGTAGTCATATATGCTTCTCAAAAACAAAAGATTCAACGAAGATGACTCTTTTCAACGGGTTTGTTCTCAAACTATATATATATATATATATATATATATATATATATATATATATATATATATATATATATATATATATATATATATATATATATATATATAATATTTAAAGACTGTAGTCCGTGAGGAAGATTTAACTTAAATAATGGGGGGGGGGTTGAAATATGTACTTCTATTTGTAGAAACATTATTCACATTGTATAGAAAGGGTGATCCTTATATATTTCTCTTGTTTAATAGATAATGAAATATCGACCTGAATGTTTACCACCAGCATTAGGAGGTATTGATGCGTTAATTGTTCGGTGGTTAAGTTGGCTTCCTATATGGGATGATACTGTGGAGACTGAACATGTTTATGGCTATCTGTGCGACCTCCTTGAGGCCAACAATCCTGTTGTAATTGGACCAGATAATTCCAATTTACCTTGTATTGTTCGTGCTATCGCAGAATCTATGTCTACGGGTGGTTTATCTGATAGTAATACTGAAACAACCGATCAAAACCTGCAGGTGTGGATCAAGCTAGTGGTTTCAGTCAGCAAAATGGTTCGGAAAAACCTTCCACCTATCAACGGTGCGTATCCATACTGCGCCACATTCAAGTAAGCTGGTTCAAATCTTTTTCCGTTTTATTAAGATTGTCCTTCAAGTTTAAGTTAATTCTACGGTATCAGGTTGCAAAATGGCGAGTTGAAGTGTCAAACCACTTTCACCACTAATTGCTACTTTCAAACTACTTCATCTTTCGTTGAATGATATTCTCCTGTTGATAAATGCACTTTGATAGGAAGTTTTATCTGTCGTTTTGAGTAGTCAATGGTTACACCCTTCTACGATTAGGTTGTTTCTAATTCAATATGAATAACCATGTTACTGTCTATGTGTTGCATAAGCCATTCCACATGAGCACTCGTTTTTCAGTTTCAGGACGCGAACTACGTAACTTTTCATTCAACTAAACTTGTCCTTTGGAGTAATCTCAAATTATTACTCATAATTTTTCAGACTGTTCAGGCAGTTAAATAGTGTAATTATCATTTTAATCTCGAATTTTGAGTTCTCACACTTCTATTGGTTCGTTCATTTGTACTATGAAGTCATAGAGCATATATATATATATATATATATATATATATATATATATATATATATATATATATATATATATATATATATATATATACTTGACACAATGATGTCAAGAGCAGTTAGAATGCATGCTTTTGAATTGTGAGGCTAAGCTATTGTATATCATTTAGATCGCCAATAGTACTGCGTAGTAGCAAGTTTAAGTGATCTTTGTTAAATCTTAATGACCAATTGCTTGGAAGTTTGAATAAAATTACAAGTCTAGTGTTTCGTTATTCATTCATCTCTTCTCTTTTTTCGTCTCTAGTCCAATTCATCCTTGGTAGAAGCTTGTGTGAGTCAACTGAATGAAGAACAGCGTAAAGCTCTTGGTGTCGCTTTGATGAGCCATTGATTTTGAAAATCTTCAATCTGCTCTATATACCTATACTTTCTGTCTTATATATGGATGGACAAAATGCCTATTGGAATCATCACTCTGACTAATCTATTACTTTGTATCCCTTTGAATATGCTGATTATTTAATTGATGTTTATAGATCTTGTAAATTATTCCAAAAGTGTAGACACTTTCTTTTCACTTTTATCTTCTAACATGTTGTTTCAAGTTTTGGTTATTTTGATATGGTCTTCTCGTTTGAAATGCTGCAAACATTCAGAAATTGTTTTCTAACTATTTCAATCAATCAGATTCAGATAACGACGTCGTTAAATTATAGCCATTTACTAAACATCGATTTCCTTTCTGTATTCCTATACTTCGTAAACTTCTCTCAGATCGGGTTACTGTTTATTGTAGCCAGCGTTAATAATTTACCTCCAAATGGATACCTATTCATTCAGCTACTTAGTTCCTTCAACAATTTAGTATTGTAAATGTATATTTTCGCTCCAAATGTGGTTTCTTTTAACCTTCCTAGTCCTGAATAATATAACCATTCTTGGTTTAGAGTTATCGTCCGTGTAGTCGCTCTAAACTTTCATCAACAACTCGCTAAACTATTTATTTTTAAGTTGATAACTTATGTGAGACAGAAGATCACTGTACTCCAAGCTGTTTTAGCGGTTCTACTCAACTCAAAATGTCGAGCGTTTAGTGTGACCGGTTTTCATTGTAGGCAATGGCAATTATATGAACTTAGAAAGGACATTTGAGATGCAATATTAATCGAACACGCTGTAGCATTAACGATATAATTTACGTCAGCACACTTTGTGATACTCTAAGATCAAGTTCTTGGTGGTGTGGTGTGTTGGTCTTGTTCCACTTTCATACCGCTCGGTTCTGCTGCACTCTTAGAAACAATTTACTTGATAGAGGTTTTCTGTATCAAAAGATGAACAATAAATATTGGTTTTTATTCCTGAAACTTCAGTAAGAATGATATCACTTAAAAATCGAATAATAAAAATAAAGCTACAAACGATGGGTAAAACTTTGAAGGATACTTTCATTAAGCCATAAAGGTAATTGTAGATAAAGGACTTCCACGGAGCGCGTAAACCTTTCTGACAAGAACTCACGAGACATGTTAGGTAGGGACTCGAGGAATGGCTTTCTTGGTTGCAAAATAGTACATCGGAATGCGTTGGTATTTCAACTGTAGTAGAATGAGCTAGTTATCTACTTCTATCTCGGGAACTGACTCTAACCATGGTTGTTCGGTTGTTTTGTCTTTCCAGATTATCACTTTTTGCATCATGCATGCCGACCCACTGCTGAACTCTGTATGCTTTGGGATATCATCTCATAAGAGGGAAACTTCAGATCAGGCCATGTGATAAATTACTACTTAGGCTCCTTAAAGATGTGCAAGCTTCAGGATCTTCACCAACTAGACAACCGAAGTTATGGTTAAGAACGTAACGTGATGCATTCACAAAGTCTGTGTACCACATTACGGAATGTCAATTTCCCTATGACCATTGTTTTCAGTTCTTTCTATTTTTAATTATATATAAATGATGATGTAATTGGGCTAGATCATCGTTGTCTTGGAACGTAATCCTAAAATCTGGATACGTGAAGTGTCCAAAGTAAGGTTCACAAATAGTGTTAAGGCGGTTCGCAAGTGCACATCAGAACGATTGTTAGTATCATGACGTATATTATTTACATAAAAGGGATCTGGATGTTGATATTTCCAGTCACGTAATGTTAGAAAACTATAGGACTAACGAAACAAACTAAAGGCTCAATCGGAGTTGCAGATCTCTGGACCATGGTATTTAAAACGGGTCCCTTATTAACAAAGTGAATGCGAAACTTCACAGTGTAGTACAACGGACGTGATTTTTTCAATAGAGGCATTGCCAATTTAATCCATCTGTTGACCACTTTAATAGTAATCATCAAAACATTGACTTTCGAAAGTGGTGGGAGGTTAGACCTTACAGGCGTCGTTTACGAGTGACTATGAAGGTCACTCTAGCAACTGCTGAAGTAACCAATAAAAGTTCAGTATCCTGGCTCGGAAGGCTTTTTTCAAAGCAGAAATAACGTGGTTGTTTCAGCAGTTGTTAGGTTGGCCATAAAAGTAGTTCGACTGTGCAATGTGGTATACTCCAGTGGCCTATACATTGAAACAGCACTTGGAGTTGTATCTACCTGAGTTTAATAGCTTTTTCAAACATACATCAGTTGTAACATGGCAAACATTATACGTTCCAGTGATGAACTGAGAAGAAAATTGCGAACACTTGAAAGGTGACTACAGTACAGTGAATATCCATCAACAGCTGACTGGGAACGACGCTACGCTGGTTTAATGGCTATTTCTGCCTGTAGCGAAGGCAGTAGCAAACAGATGGAGACAATGCTTGGGTCCATACTAGATGCTGTCATTCCTCGCCTTAGCGACCCATCTCCACGTGTTCGATATGCGGCTTGTAATTCTATTGGTCAGATGGCTACGGATTTTGGTCCGAAACTACAAAAAACTCATCATAGTGCTGTACTGCCAGCATTGGTCCAGACATTGGATGACACGGTGCCTAGAGTGCAAGCTAATGCTGGAGCCGCTCTGGTCAATTTCTGTGAAAAAGTACCACAGGTTTGTTTTTGAAATATGTTTTGCCTCCCACCGATTCAAGCTTTCATACGTCATTGTTCTTTTCAGTGGTAGTGTAGCGTCATACACTTCCCCAAAATCAATAGCCTAGGGTTTGACGACTTCGACATTGATGCTGACCTTGATAGTTTAACTGGACTCGCTAAGCTGAAGGCACCCGGTCAAGCATCCTCGCCATTTGGCACGCTGTCGTGTTACGTTGCATTGCTCGTATTCGACTCTCTAGCCAGTTAGTTGGAACGCATCGGTATTTTGGCATAACCATCCAAATATACTATTCCATCCGACTACGCTATCGTGTTCTTCCTTGGTCTCGTATTCGTGGGTATATAACAAGTTCGAATAATTAGTGATTGGTCTTTGCGTCTGTCAAGTTCGCACCAGGACAAATCCTAAATTGGTGATCCCGACGTGATCACATATCCCGAACAATAGCAAGTATTGAATTGGTGAGCCTGTTCCATTTTATATTTGTTTATTGTTTTCATTTCGATAACATTTATATATCCATTTACTACACTTTCTCATGTCCGACCACACTCCCAAGCTTATTCGTATTAAGCCGACCTCGAACACGATCCAACTCGTGCCATATTGGCCAGACAATGCAGAAACATGGTTTCTGTATGCCGAGGCCGATTTTCGAGAACAGGGTGTCTCAGATCCTCAATCTCGATTTCTTGCTGTCATACGTTCACTACCGCGAGAATTAAACAGGTTTGTTACAGCAAACATGTTTAATCCTGAAGTAAGTGACCCTTATGCACTTCTAAAGGCTGCACTCTTGAAGAAAAGCGATCTCACAGATCGCCAACGTCTAGACGAATTGCTTCGTAACATCGAGCTAGGCAGCCACTCAGCTACTGAAGTCCTCGCACGCATGCGAGAAGTAATCGGTGCACGAACATTTGACGATGGTTTCTTCCGAGAACTATTTCTCTCGAAACTACCACAACCGGTGCAAACCGTGTTGGTGACACTCCAGTCAGTCCCACTCGACGACCTGGCAGCTTCAGCAGATAAAATACTGGAGATATCCAGCAGACCCGTCTCCAACGTATATTCTATCTGCGACAAAACAGAGCGCCAGGATTCGGAGGTGACCAAGTTGTGCAACTCTGTGAAACGGTTGCTACGATCTCGAAGTCCTAGATCACGTAGCACTTCACAGAAACGCACCTTGGCGCATCGCAGCAAGTCGCGTGGTAGCCCTAAAACGAAACCCAACAGGGTGGAAAACCCTGAATGGTGCTGGTTTCATAACACTTACGGGGATGAAGCCAGAAAATGTCGTAAACCATGCCGTTTTAAGAAGGACCTAACTCGGGAAACGGTCACGCCGGCACGTGCTCACGGCAACCGTAGCCGGCGGAAAAAGCCGTTTGCTCTACGTCACCGACATTAAAACGAAAGTCCGCTACCTCGTCGACACCGGCGCAGAAGTTAGCGTTCTTCCAGCAACGACAAAGGAGCGTCATCTCGACCCATCCTTCAATCTTCAAGCAGCCAACGGCAAGGCAATCGCGACATTCGGGAGACGGTATGCCTACCTCAACTTAGGTTTACGCAAACCTATTCACTGGATTTTCCTCCTGGCAGACGTCTCTATGCCCATCATTGGCATAGATTTGCTGAACCATTACGATCTACTCGTAGATGCTCGCCGTCGACGACTGATAGATAACAACACAAAGTTATCTATTGGCGGCACCACCTATGTAGGTCCGAGTTTAGCCATCGTTAGGACTAAACAATCAGGCGACGCGTCCTACCAGGCAGTTCTGGAGAAATATCCAGAGTTACAACAACCGAAACACACTCTTCCGTGCATAACCAGCAATGTTATGCATCACGTCACAACCACAGGTCCACCTGTGGCATCCAAAGCTCGCCGTTTAGCCCCCGATAAGCTGCAAACGGCGAAAAATGAATTCGACCATATGCTGGAACTGGGCATTATCAGACCGTCGAACAGTCCTTGGGCATCGCCATTGCACATGGTGCCCAAAAAGGATAGCAACGACTGGCGTCCGACCGGTGATTACCGAAGGCTTAACGCCAAAACAACTCCGGACTGCTACCCTATACCCCACGTTTACGACTTGACCGCAACCTTATGCGGCATGAACATTTTCTCGAAAATCGACTTAGTCAAAGCGTACAACCAGATACCTATGGCAGCAGAAGATATCGCGAAAACAGCCATTATTACTCCTTTTGGCCTGTTTGAATTCCTGCGCATGCCTTTTGGTCTTCGGAATGCAGCACAAACATTCCAACGCTTTATGGACGACGTCTTCCGTGGTCTGAATTTTGTTCATGTCTACATCGATGACTGTCTAATTGCGAGTCCAGATAAGGAAACACACCTTAAACATTTGGACCTCGCATTCGAAAGACTCAAAAAACATGGCATCACAGTTAACTTACAGAAGTGTGAAATAGGAGTTGAATCACTCAGCTTCCTTGGGCATACCATTGACAACAAAGGTATACGCCCATTGAGAGATAAAGTGGCGGCTATCACAAACTATCCAGAGCCGACCACTGTGAAACATCTCCGCACTTTCAATGGCCTGGTAAGTTATTACCGAAGGTTTATCCCTAACTGTGCCTCTGTCATGAGACCACTCACAGATCTACTTCGAGGAACTGCGAAGTTCGTGTCTCTGGACAACGCGGCTAGACTTGCTTTCTCCAAAGTCAAGGAAGCCATTTCGAACGCAACCATGCTTATGCATCATGACCCCAATGCTCCTCTGAGTATTGCTGTTGATGCATCTGATTCAGCAATTGGAGCAGTTTTGCAACAGTTGACTGACA